ATTGCATTCAGTTAATGATTGATAGTTAAAGGAAATGTCTACCTTAGAGAAACTCTGTTCCTGTGCAATTGTTTTTTCTTTTATGTTGAAGTTTTAAGGAGGATCCAACTGCGCAGTATAAACTGACAATTCTCCTTTGGACAGGTACATATTATGTGCGCAGTTTGACATGGAAGCAATTTGTTTGGGCCTGTCCCCGTTATTACAACTCAGTTGTAGAATATTGATAGTTTTATTTTTTGCAGATCTGTTTCAAGTGTCACTGCATAGTGTTTTGCCCCATAATAATGCATATGTTAACTTTATTTAAATATTATATTTGGCAATAATGAATTGATTTACTCCAAATCTGTTTTTTTATGCAGTAGTTCAAAGAATGAAATGTTTTGTACTTGATATCAATCAATCTTGATTTGGTTAGTGTATTTTTGCAGGACTTTGCTTGGAAGACATTTTGTATGATGCCTCAAGTAACTTATACAGAGCATTAATGCCAGTGTACTCAAAGCAACAATACTTGTAGTCCTATAGATATTCTAACGACTATAAATCTCTAATAATTAAGATGAAATGAACAGTACTGCAGTATTGTTTCAGACTTAACACATCTGCAGTCTACACAATTATAGAAGTTGGCCAAAAGTGAGTCATCATTAGTGAAATTTCCATGGACTTACATGTTAATTTACTGTTGAAAGAATCATTTTCATAAATTGAGCAGAAGTCATTTTATTTTGATATTTTGCAAATATCTTTGAAATCATCTTCAGCTACGTGTACATAATTTTCTTTCATCTTTCCATTGATTAGTTATCGAATGACACCTAATAAAGCACCACATACAAGTTCAACTTTTAATCTATCCCATAGACAGCCATGTTAAGCCTGATTGGTATGTCTGATATATGTGGTTTAAATAGTTGCAGTTTTCTTAATAATCATCAGAAAATTGAATGGAAATTATGTGTATGTAGCTGAGATGATTTCCCAGCTGGTAGATAAGTATTGAAAGCAATTCGACCGAAACTAAACTTATGAAAATTATTCTTGCAACAGTTAATTAACATGCAAGTCTATGGGAATTTCACTAATGATGACTCACTTATGGCCAACTACTGTAGCTATTTGTTTAAACAGACCTGGCAATCTTCTGTTGTAACGACAGGTGGTGTGGTGGCCTTGTGGTTGAAGCGTTCACTCGTCACGCCAAAGACCTGGTTTCAGTTCCCCACATCGCTACAATGTGTGAGACCAATTTCTGGTGTCCCCCACCATGATATTGCTGGAAGATTGCTATAAATGATGTAAAACCTTACTCCCTGACATACTCTACATGCAACAAACCACATGTCGAAATGACTAGACTAACAACTAGTCTCTGAAATGAACATATTTTACAGAAAAAAGCCTCATAGTGAAAAAAAACAAAATAAAACAGGGGTGGAAATAACTTTAAAATTGCTAGTGTACACCGGTACAGTGGCACATGTAAAATCACTTGCCCTGATAATTTTCCTCTATACCGGCCGATTTTCTTGTTGATTATTTAAATAAACAACATAATTAACATTGGAAAGTCAACTGGACATTGGTACAGTGTGATACACAAATTTGCTTGCCCGACTGGAAAAACCACTGGACTCGGGCATCAGGCAATGGGTTATTTCCACCTCTGTATAATAAAAAGGAGCCCTGAGACTTTTTTCAAGCTGTGGAAATCTAGACTTGCTACATTTTCTACAGTTGCGTGGGATTTTTTGGATATATTTGCTTCAGGGTCTGTATGAGAGACTACTAAATGACCAGAGAAGCATATGGCTGTTCATATATAACATACTGTATATGGCTTATGTATATTTTGGTGAAGAAAAAATTAACTTTCAAATTTCATTTCATTTCAAGCTGCTGCATGTTTTAAATGAAGAACAAAAAGAACAAGATATCTGTGTAATGACTCTATTTTACCAAATCGAAATGTGATTTCAAATTCTAACTTGTTCAGATGTTTCTTGTCCATTGCATCAGGTTCAAGGGAAGAGAATTCAGATGCCCTCCATACACAATATGTTTCATGAAATCTTTTACTGAAATTTGTTAATCCAGAAATTAGTTCATCCGGACAATATCAGCAGGAATACAACTGTGAAAACTCATATTTACATTTTTGAGGTTAAATATCTTCCAAAACTATCCCTAATTTTGTGTCAATTTCCTTCCTATTATTTGGCAGAGTTTTCCTTTGAATTATTTTTATCTACTTTTAAGAAACATACAGACTCAACTGAAACAAAATACAGGAAGTACCAGATTCGTTCACTTTGATTTAGAGATATCCGCCGTTGTTTCTTCTTAAACAAACATGGCAGCAAACATGGCATCCGACTCGGAGTTTGAAATTGTGAATAACAGTAAATTTATGTTTTACGGTAACTGTTTATTTGATCTGGGTTTCGAGTTTCTTGTCAGTTATTAAAAGCGACTGAAACTACTTCAACTTGTTTTTATTTCATATTAACTATACATTCATTTGGGAAATAACTTCAAATGAGACAATTCAAGGAGAGAAAAAAACTATTGCCATAGTTGGTCGCACTTCAGACTATCACTACTGCAATAGGGGACTATCACTATTGCAATAGTTGTTTCTCCTTCAATAGTCATTCCTACTATTTATCATATCTATATATTTAGGACAGGTATCATCGCTGTGTACTTGTACATACTTTGTATTGCTTACATAAAATTCACAATGTCTAAATATATAATCATGATGACAGTCTTTGGGTCTTGTTGACATGAACAGCATTGTTTGCGTGGATGCGACTCCGAACACTGAAGAGAGATGCTGGGTAATGAAACACACTAGTCTTGTCGTGTCTCGCTTGCCCCATTCAAGTCATTGACAGGGATTACGACTTTTTGTCCAATTCTTACAAGGGTTGTCTGTATGAAATGTTATTTATGTTCAGTGGAAAGTACAGTGGAGATAGAAGATGAGTTTGTTGATGTAACAAAGGGCCTGAGTCAGGATAGAATCAACCATTGTGATAAATATAAACCTGTGATAAAATATTGTTAGGCCTTTATTTGGCATGAGTGTGCATTCTACGTAGGCAAGTGTAAGGAAAATTATCACTTATGAATCTGTTGACTTCAGAATCGTGACTCACTGTTTAATGAAGACAGGGATGGTGTAGTGGTTACAGTGATGAGTTGTCATGCAGAAGGTCCAGGTTTGATTTCCATGTGTCTAGGGTTTAGTGATGTTAAACAGACAAGCTCTTTTACTAAACTTGAGAGAGAAATAAGAATGAGAGAGATGGAGAAAGGAGACACCCCCTCTGGATCCGCCAATTTCACTCATTCACTCATTCTGTTTCTTGCTGGAGAGAAATATACTCTTGTTTTTTGTTCAAAATCGCTTTACTCACTCACTCACTCATTCAATCAATCAATCAATCAATCAATCAATCACTGAACTAGAAATGACTTGATTCACACATATTTAAGATATAAGAGCAGACATGTTCATGAAATAATTGTTTGTAGTGCTGTGATTGGCATCAATTCTGAAACAGTAAATAGTGACTGACAAGAAACAACCCCCTGAGGCGTGGAAGGCCGAAGTTGAAACTGTAAAGAAAGTGACTCATGGATCTCTCCCATGACTATCTGCAGTAAACAACATTATGATGAACACCAAGCAACAACAAGTATTAGTTTGTTAAATACATAGTTTTTCACACTTTGTGACTAAGATATACAGCAACTGGCTGAGCGCGTGGCAGGGACAAAAAAACTACAGTTCGTCATAAGCATGTTCATTATAAACATAATTTACTGTATGTTAGACTCCAGGAATCTCATGATCTCTGATAAATTTGGGGTGCAGATCAGGGACAGTGAGGTGCCAAATTAATGACACACTTAACTTTATTTCCAAACCGCCTCCGTGGTGTAGTGGTTAGAGCGTCTGCCCCGAGAGCAGAAGGTTCGATACCCAGCCGCGTCATACCAAAGACGTTAAAACATGGTACTTGTTGGTCCCTGCCTGGTGCTCGGCATTGATGGGTAGAACAAGGACTGGTCGGCTCGGAGTCAGTATAATGTGTCAGAGTGGGGTATTCATGCTTATCTGTGGCATGGTATCCCAGTGAGCTAGCATGATAAAACCAGCTTAAGTCTGGGCTTGTACAAGCAGCCACACATACATGCACGCCATCATATGAGTCAAATATTCTTAATTAAGTACAACGTTAAACCCCACTTCACCTCACCTTAATTTCCAAAACATTTGCTGATGTCATATCGTTGTACATGCTCAGAATCTTCAATCCTACCAGATATGGGGATGTCAGTGAAGGTACTCCACTATTAAGCATGAAGTGTATCTTATGTAGCATATAATCTATGATTTTAAATCATCTCAATTATACAAATAACCATACTTTTGTGTGTCAAAGGACACAATATTTTCATGCATCATAACCCAGCTATGAATATTGTTACATTCCCTGTTGCAAACGAAGAAACAAAATAGATAATAGGTTGGCTTGTTACATTTTTGACAATTTTATCATTAGCTTTGTTGCCGGGTAATGCTGAACCAAAACACGCTATTGTATAAATGCCATTTACATTCACTCATACACTATAGTGTTTTCTTTACAACTGAACTCATTGTCTCCAGAAATCTATTCTTGTCTGAGAGGCAACTAAATGGAAATGGTGGTCAGGCTCTGCAACTTTGTTGACGGCATGTCATCAATCCTTGTGCTCATGATGTTAATCACTGGTTTGTCTTGTCCAGACTTGATTAGTGTCCGACTGCTGTCAAATGGCTGGAATATTTCTGAATGTGGTTACAATGTGTGAAGCCCAAACATTTAATGATGTTTAATATTGCTAAAACCGTAAAACCAATCTCAGTCAGTCAGACAGTCTGAATGTGGCTTTAAAATTCAATAAAACAAACATTTAATTATTTATTTTTACCACAGAAACATGGCGTGGAACACGACACTGCCACAGTGCTGGCGATGGTGGTAGATGCTGCTGCATACATCCGACAGAAAACGTAAGTCATATGGAGACAACGTAGTGAGTAATATTAGTCATCAGTCATACGTTATCATGGCGGGACATGTTTTATAAGTATCATTTTGATTCTTGGTTTGCCTCCATTGTGTTTCTATCTTAATCACCATCCCTGTTCGTGTGGATTTCACCGAGGGGGTAGACACGTGAGGCATAAAAACTGGAGTTCTGATAAAAGTTGTGTTTCGTGTGGATCATTCACTCACGCGATTGGGGTAGCCTAGTGATTTAAGCATTTGCTTGACTCCCAACATCTTGGTTCGATTCCGGGCGATGGGGTACCTAATGTTAAAAATAACTGGAGTTCTTCGAAAAATGGGCACAATGTGTTTAACCCATTTCATGGTGTCACTTTTGTGATGTTGCTGGAATATTGCTAAAAGCGGCGTAAAACCAAACTCAGTCAGTCAGTCAGTCAGTCAGTGGTTCGATTCCCCACATGCATACAATGTGTGAAACCCATTTCTGGTGTCCCTGCTGGAATATTGCTAAAAGCTATTGGTGGCATAAAACCAAACCCACTCACTTACTTCAGGAATGGCATGACTAAGGCCACAATCATTAGTTATTTTCAAGATTTGCGGATTAATTATCCTTGGAAACCAGTGGATGAAACATTTCCCTCCTTCCAAATCTGCAGGTCTCAGACATTATCCTATTTGATTAAACCCACGAGTCATGGTGTTGAGATACCTGGAAACATTATTCAGGCAAACTAAGAATCAAACCTGCAATCTTTGGCTCCAGACATGCAAAAGGGACACAACTCTTCACAGCGCACTACTGTCCCATAGACAGCTGAGCAACAAGTGTCCCCAAGTTATCTATGTTTACAGTAGCAGGGCTCCAGATAATTTTTCAACATGAGGAGTACTTACTCCTTATTTTTTAAATATAGGAGTACTGGAAAAACTTAAGAGTACATTTGGAGTACTGAATGGAATTTAATGGAGTATGTGATCTTGTGTTTTGTTTCATATATGCACCACAGCATTGCTACTCTTTTGTAAACAGTTAGAAAGCAATAAAACAATACTTTTTTCAGATAAATACGTCTGTAAATGATTCTAAGACTGTACACCATTGCTGTGCTGCGTATCTGCTACTGTTTTAAATTATATCCTACCGTATCGTGCATATTTTTTATCCGTACATACGCCCATACGGCCCTTATCTGGAGCCCTGCAGTAGGGTCATTGACTATTGTCTGTATTGTAAAAAAAATGATTACTCGTTTGCTCAACCCAGAATAACCTTGGGCTGTACGTCAGTGTACTTACAAGCAGTGTGCGAAATAGTTGCCACATTTTGCTAGCCAGTAGGGCTAGCTATGCCTGAAACTTACTAGTCCACAAAATAATCCACTAGCCCGAAATTTAAATGTAGAAACTAAGTAGAAGATTACAAAAAGGTAACATACCATCAGAAACAAATAAGAAAACACATGTCTGAATATCTGAAATATTATGTTTATGCTCAAATAACTTGAATAAGTCATCATTAAGCTGGTAATATGATGAACATTTTTATCAGGCCATAATCTTGCATGATTTAATTGTGTGTTATAAGGTGGAGAGAGTAATATATTTCCAAAATAACCCCATGAAAAGTCACTAGCCAGTCGGGCCTGTGTGGAGATTTACTGTTTACTGGCCTGACTGGATTTTTACTAGCCACAGGCTGGCAGGCCAGTGGCTATTTCGCACACTTGTTACAAGTAACCCAGATTGTGCTTCAGACCATATCTGAGCACATGTCTGCTCAGAGAGAAGGAGGTTGATGGTTTCATTGTCCTGTTTTATTAAAGTATGTGTATTAGATGAATATATCATGGACTTCTTGGTTTGGAGTCGGAACACTGTATCTGAATGAGGATCCATGTTAAACCATGTTGATGGAATGACACTGAAACATCAGCAGAAGTTGGGACTAGGACAATCAGCGATGCATGCACATTCATGCATGTGCCTATACAAGCGCAATATTTTTCCTTATCCTGACTCATGCTTAATGCTTGTCTCCTTCCTCTTGCGAACATCAGTGGAACACCTGTATCTCCTATTGAAGCTCCCTTCAATAAAGAACAGACGTAAATTCACTCCTCCCAAGAGTTATCTCCCCAACCGTTTACGCGTGAAACTGTGGCGCCACCGTCCCACCATGCCTCACTCTCTCCTTCTTTGCCCTGTGGGCAGGTTGTGAGAGCGCCTGTGTCTTCTTTACGGCACTATATCCTTTAATTACTTAATTATTCTCCTCTATTCTACTTTTATAGAGGTTTAGTTAGTATCCTTCAACAATATCGTTTGATATTTAATCGTATTTAACACTATTTATTCTTGGAATTGTCCGTGTTTGTTCAGTTGTTTCCATTTCATGATAACCTAATTTCGTTGTAGGTTTAGGTTCGCTGCTGCTAAACCCGCATTGACTGTGCCTTAGCGGCACAACAACATGTACTTCCAGCTATAGCTGTAATGTTTATCAGCATTTAAGAGAAATTCAATTTAATAAATAATTTTTCTCTGTACTTAGACGTACTACCGACAAATCCAGGTGACTGTCCAAGTCATGGATAACTGGCTGAGTCCCTCACGAACTGTCTACTGCTGTAAGACGATTTTCTACCATCAAGTGACCTGCCGGAGGTGTCCTCGGAGAATGGGTGTGGGATGTTGTCCGCCATTACTTCGAATCTACATCGGACAACTCCTCAACGCAGACGTAGAAGAAGAAGCCATCTTCTACGCAGAATGAAGCCTCACAGACATCGTCCCTGGTCCATATCGCTATCAACGCAGAGAGGGCAGCTCTACAATCTTCGCAGACGTTGAATAGAAGCCATCCTCTACCCAGAGAAGGCTACACACCCCTCAGATGACGACCAACTCTACGGGGACGTCTGCGCAGACTACAAGGACTTTCTCTACTGAGATTGTCCCGATGACAGAACAGGGACTCTACGATGATCAACCGATAATCATCCCAGAGGTTCATCCCAAGCAACGACCGGTCTCAGCTACGGTGACTTCAGTGCAGATCTCTCCTCAACCCGAGGTATCAACGTTGACAACAGATGACCGTCCAGTGGCCCCATCGCTATCACCGCAGAAAGGGCAGCGCCAGTACCACCGCAGACCTTCAAACCGGGCGACTTCATGCAGTCATGGAGATGATGGAGCAGTGTTACGGCCTGGAAAAGAATTCACAGCCAGCTCAGGTCCCGAGCCTTCGCGAAGGCTCCAACGCAGACGTCAGCTCTGAGGGACCCTCCATCAACGTGACTTCTGCCAGCAGAACTACACTCCCGGATCAGCCTGCGCGAAGGTCGACTCAACCATCCCCTACAGCGGACTCGGACGTTCATCGGACGATCAGCATTCGCGAAGGCATTGGCGAAGGAGGATTCGTCCATCACCGGATACAGCATCAGACGACTAGCGTTCGCGCAGGCGTTCGCGAAGGACCAGTCACCATTCCCCAGATGCGGAATCAGATGTTCAACGTTCGCGAAGGCATTCGCGAAGGAGGAATCACCCATCCCCGGATCAGACGTCCAGCGTTCGCGAGGGACCAGTCGTCATTCCCCAGGTGCGGGAATCAGATATTCAGCGTTCGTGAAGGCATTCGCGAAGGAGGAATCACCCATCCCCGGATACAGAATTGGACAATCAGCGTTCGCGAAGGCATTCACGAAGGACTAGTCGCCATTCCCCCAGATGCGGAATCAGCTGATCTGAAGGACTTCAGATACAGTATCCAAGACAGCCTCCACATCATGCAGATCGTCGAGGGATTCGCCGAGACATCCGCGAACTCACAGTCGCTCATCTCCGCGCAGGTCACCCTACAGACGCAGTTCGCCGGGCCACTCCCAACGCCGATCTCCACGCCGATCTCCACGCAGGTCTCCGCGCAGGTCTCCACGAAGGTCTTCACGCAGGTCTCCACACAGGTCGTCACGCATGTCTCCACGCAGATCCCCAGCGAAGCAGAGACATTGCAGTACTTAGTCTCTCAATGCTGTCAAGCCTGCGCGAAGGCATTCCCGCAGGCCATCTACAACGCAGAGACGTCGCAGTACTGAGATTCTCAACAGAATGCTACATACCATCACCGACGGCGCTAATTTCAGAGACTGTCAGCAGATGATGAACCTAATAAAGGATCTTCAGGCCGACTACCTACATCAAGGGCATCAACGTCGCCTAGCAGATCATCACGGGAATCACCATTTCGGAATGTATTGCCAGGAAGGCAATCCTGCACTACGAGACGATTACCTACCTACACAAGGCGCCATACAGTCACACCACGCCAACCACAACGCAGATCGCTACGCAGATCTTCAAGGTTATTCAACCAGGACACGAGGTATCGTCACCCTAGAAGGGAAAGATCGTCGTCGGTACACAGACTGAAGGACATGTAATACAGTTCAAGAGGGGTACTCTTGTCCGAATTCATCACTGGCACGGATCTTCAGACTGAATCCAAGATTCACATAGATTGATATATCTACATGAGAAGACGCATGGCCATATAAAGATCCTCACTTTCGTACAGATCTGCAGATATTCTCACTAGCGGGGTTCAACAGCAGCCTTGCTACGGCTAGGAAAATACATACTCGTCAACGATTCCCTGAGCAGAATTTACAAGAAGTTCAACATTAATTCTACAATTACGACGCTTCATTGATGTATGCAGTCTACAAGCTGACAACGTGAAGATTTCAGTTGATCCTCTGTATAAAGGGCGACGGCATTATCTTCAAGACTGAAGTAAAAGTCACAGCAACCAGGAAAACAGCCTACCCACATCGATATTTCGGGCGTTTACAATTCAACCCTCGATACACGTGGTCACTCGTGTAACTTCGGAAGGCTACGGACAAGACCGACAATTGATCAGATATCAACGGCGGCACTAGATTCTACAAGGACCTTTTTCCTGCTACACCGGTGACGTCACAGCGCG